AAAGTTGATGCTGATAATCAAACTGTTTGTTCTCCTTTTTCCCCCAAATTGGAATCGAAAAAAGAATCGATAAAGAATCGAATCGTTTCATAGAATCGAAAAGGGAATCGTGAAAATCTTTTCAATTCCCAACCCTACCTTGAATGATAGATTACCTACTGGAAATTAAGTTGAAAAAAAGTTAACAAGTCAAGAAAAAAAAAAAGCTTAAAAAATGTTATTGAAATTGAAAAGTTATAAATTTAATGTCAGTTCCAGTATCAGCATTAATGCCTCTAAGGTTATGTTGGACTGAAGAAATGTGTTTCTTTCACTCAAGCACTGTTGTTATTTTTGTTAATAGATTCGGCCAAGTTGGCGTCCCTTGTTATTACATTGACATTTACCATAAAAATATCCATATTTTTTAATGTTCCAAAGGTAATAAGGTCTTGTCCTGGATTCCAATAACACTATTGGCTGGAAATGTTCATTTCCAGATTATTTAACTGAGCGCCCTATAAGACGGCGCCTCAAAAAGCTGTCCAGGATTTCCTCCCAGGACCTTTAGGGTGACTTAAAGGTCCTGACTTCCTCCTCTCCAAAAGGTGATGCAAACTAAACTAATCCAGATCCTAGCTTTCATCTATTTATTTGTATCTACATCAGGCTGAGCTTTCAGTCAGTCTGCAGTTCTATGCTGAAGTGTCTGATGATGAACCAGGTCACTGGTTCCAGAGTGACACCAGCAGCCCCAGCAGCAGCAGCAGACTCACAGAGTTCATCATGGCCAGCTGGGAGGGGTAAGCCTTGCAGGGGAAGTGGACCTTCACCCCACCGATGGTGTACTCCACAGGTGAGGCTGCCATGTTCCCTAACAGCACCTGTTCAAACATGACATCATTAAGTTTCATTAGAAACACACAGCTACATCAGCTGCTTAACAAATGTTTTATTTTTTAAAGTTGCTTTCAGGAATAACTCACCTGAGGAAAGAAACAGCACCTGGAAAGCTAATGCTAGCTAATTAGCACCGTTAGCTTCGGTTATAACAAGTATTTCCTGTTGTTCAATAGTTTACTGAAGTACATCCAGTATTCTCAGGCACACAGAAACGATGAACACCGGTAGCTCATCCTCAGTCCTCTGCCCCCATGATTCTTCCCGCTCTCCAAAATCACATCAGACCCCAAACAGGATGTGCTAACCGGCTACTTCCGGTAAGTCCTTTCAAAATAAAACCAACGGATGGAACCTTTGAAACATTAGAAATAAGAGCAG